TCTGACAAAAAACTCTACATGATTAGATAAATATAGTAGGCAGTTTTTGGTAGTAAACCTACTCCGGTCAATTTGGAGAGATAACGACGAGGCACGGAACCCACTACACGATGCCACTGAGTCTTTAACTTCCCACCCCTTCAACTTTCCAGTTAACTGGCGAAGTTCCTGCAACCAGACACCCCAACAGTTTTATCTCGGTGTCGGTGTTTCGAAAGCAAAGGTCCGTCAGGACATTCTTACGTGTAAGCCAATAGGTCAATTGCAAATGAACTCAACATCGACTGACAGCTTGCCTGTCACAAAGCCGATTTTTGGGATTTAGAGCCAAAATGAATGACTTGGAACGATGCGATTTATTAAGAACATGCTAGGTTTATGCGGAGAATCATTATTGGCATTTATGAGAAACAGTTTTTTGCCAATGTCTGCGCAGCGAAAAGTGTATTTCCTCGTTTGTCTGTACTGCTTATCAACTATCTCATCGAGTTCGATTTGGAGAATGATAGTTATGACTCACTACATTAGTTATCTTCCCTTGATTTAAATGTTTGAGAAGTAATTTTGGATGGTAACTGCTGTCATTCGAAAAGTTATAAATACAAGCTTCCTCATAGTATTGTAGAATTCGCCTTAGCAATAAAAACCACGTAAGTGTTTGCATTTGCCGACTAAGGCATGCGTAAGGTTGGAATTAAGAGAGTAACCCAAAAGTAGATATTTCGGTTCCGTTTACCGTGTTTACAGTGTGATTGCGGGTACGGTGGCGTTTAGATGATACAAGAGCTCCAGAAAATCACTTAATGGGGGCCGACCGAGGGTACATGCAGATGGCATTCTCTTGCATCGAAAGGCTGAAGAAGGTGCTGGTCAGAATGAATCGGTACCCTGTGAATGTTCGTAGGAGGAGCAGAACACTGTCATTGAAGCTGCGGAGACCATGAGGACTCACCGCACCTCTCTAATCAGTATGGTCTTTGCCGACGCGGGCGTTGAAGTCACCATGGACAGTCGACTTGTCTACATTCGAGATCGTCTCCAGGGGGCGTGCAGGTCTTCATAGAATTCGCTCCTTACCATATCAGAGTTTACCATCGGGAGTGGGGGATAAACGCTGACGATGGTGCCAATTTGTCCCCACGGAGAGGCTCCTCAGACGACCGATGATGCCCTGCGACACACAAAGCAGACGTCCCACGATGTCTTTCCGAATGGCAAAGTTGACGCCTGCGTCTCGTCGTTCTACCTTTGGGCAACCGTCTTAGAAGAAGGTGTGGCCGGCACCCACCTCCTCCAGTTGGCCTTGCTCGGAGAACCGGGTCTCATTGAGTACAGAAATGTTCACCTTATAGAGCGCAAGTTCCTAAGCGACTGACGCCATCCTTTGTTCCGATCGGTCGCTCCAGGGATCGTCTTAAAGGGAACGAACATTCCAGACAGTCACAGTGAGAGGACCCACCTTATTTGCCAGTGCGGTGGAGAGAATGGTGAGAGGAAGGAGAAGAGAAAGATAACTGTTTCTTGTTTGTTAGTCTCGACCTCATGTGTAGCAGGTTGCGCGCAGAATACGTGATCCCAGTATTTGTTTAGGCCCCTTGTAAGTCCCATTCCCCTGCCTGGGGTAAGCAGTACCGCCCCTAAATAGAGCTGTTTAGATATCCCAGACGGGCTCTGAACTCCAATATGGGTCGCGTATTGGTTTAGTGGCAAGACGACCCGATTGGCCCCGGCCGCTTACGTGATTGCATGTCACCCTCGCCGGGAACTTTTCGACCGTGTGGGAAGAGAGTGAATTAGAGAGGAGAGTTGGAGGGGAGGGGAACAGATTTACTGCGTGTCGGACACACCCGGATATTCTCATCTGACTTAACCAGCCGGTCGAGGCGGCTATCGGCGTGTGGCATCTGGCCGGAGCCCAGTTTCGAGGAGTCACATTTGAGAGTTGGATGCCAATTAGTGGACGCTAGGCCTAGTCAACAACTGTCGGCAGGGGAGCGACCTACTACGACCATCACGTTGGCTCACAACAGGACACCTCTGCAGCCCGAGACTTCGGATACATGCAGAAATAACCACTGACAGTGACGAGATAGTGGGGGGGGGGACTATTTCTGGTTTATTAGCGGCCGACAGCCATCCGTACTGAACTTCAGGTTTGAAATAAAGAAAATTCGAACCTGGATTCTTGGATCGTTTAGAGACAAGCAGTTCAACATTCTGCTCATTAGATATGGGCTCGTTGCTCTATCGGCTACGATCGAAAACAGGGTCGAGTGCAAATAGTAGCTTCTTTTGTAGAGTTTTGAGCTAAATAAGCAACCACATCGCATAAACGGAAAGGAACAGACCAGCTCCCCCTACCTTCACCTGCTGGGGTTCGAGCCCTCGAAGGGCGTGGCCAGCTTCTGAAAAATCAGTTCAACTTAACAACGTCTGCTTAGATAAATATATTAGACAGTTTTTAGAACATACCCGGTCGTATACCCTATCCCTACCATTCCCTGTTTTCTGACTGTTAATTGCTATGTCGCCTCCTGCAGGAATACTGAACAAGGATCCCGAGGTTAAAGGAAAGACCTGCACTGTTTCGAAATCAGATCAAGT